CAGATCCTATAGTCGTAAGCTTACGTCCATTTGAATTGGTTTCAAAATCTTGCTGTGAGCTAGCTGGTATTTCTGAAGAATCAATCACTCCACCACCACTAAAATTTCGTGGCTTAGAGTTGCAAACATCAACATTCACTCTATCATCTTCGTCGCCATCAGCTGGACATACGTTGGTAGATTCATGAAATGATGTCGTCTCAATAAGACTTCCACCGGCCGAATGCATTTCATTGTCCACGGTGCACTCGAAGTCGTGCAGTTGGCGTCTGGGCCCACCCTCTACCACTACTTCGTGTAGGCCGTGACTATTGTGGCTACGCCATATCTCAACATCTTCGAAGACCAAATCATCAATTTCATATTGCTCTTCTTCGCTTGAAAGGTTAGCGCATTCTTCGACAGGACCATTTGAGCATGTCACCAATCTGCGATTGAGAGGAACCTCTACTCCAGTTTCCCTCGTATCTTCTGAAGACGTCACTGTGGTAGCCGCATCAGCAACGGGTCGATCTGCCGCCATGGCATTGCCTGATTCGATCACTTCGTCATTTAGGGTAAGCGTCATGGCAGTGGTACCAGAAGTGCGCTGAGGAGAGTGCCGCCTAGTATCAATACCAGAGGGCTGAAATCGACAAGTTGTCATTGGAGTTTGCTCGCTAGAGACTATAGGCGTCATTCGGAATCTGTTATTTATTAGTGATGAGGTAACTGGCCCAGCTGCAGGATTTGGAGCTCGCCAAAGTGAAGAATCAGCCACTTCTGGGGCAGGAGTGCTGGTGAGAGAGGTTGGTGAGGCGATTACTGTACTTACAGTCGAAGTAAGTTCGAGCATCGGGACCTCCATCAAGCCCGAATGAGTGATCGAATCACTTAGACTAATTGGTGCTGCACACTGAAGACTGGAGCTGCTTGGTTGGGAGATGATTGATTCCGGCACAAGAGAGTCGAGAGTCGGTCGTCGGGGCTGTTGTTGATGCTGGTGCCGTCTGTGCGGGTGCGGAGAAGGTCGACGGGGATGCGGAGCACCGGGAAGAAAGGCTGGTACAGGGCCAATCGGAGTTACCTCGCCGACAGAAGGCAAGCCAGTGGCTACTGCACCTACCGACGGTCCGCTAGCATTAATGGTTCCATCAGTCCCATCTATAGAGGTATGAGATGCGCCAGTAGAGTCTGTGCAGCGTGGGCCTGTACGGTGAACACGCGGTCGATACCTGTTGACAATAGGGAGGGGAGGTGGATCGTTAGCTTCGCTTGCGAGAGGTGGTGTAAGAGCGACGCCGATGGTAGCAGGAGAGCTTTCCGTGCCGACTGCGGGGGTGAGACTGAATGTCGTAGATGGGTCACGGCCTGAGCCTCGTAAACTATGGGGATCATTAAGAGGAGCTGAATGTGGTGGACGCAATGGGGGAGGTGGAACGGGTAGGTGTGTTCGGAAAATATCGCTGCTATCAGTATCACTAATGCTGATTCCAGGGAGCAGAAAGCTATTGTTACTACCAGCGGTTGTGATAGCAGAGGTGCTGGCTGCAGCCGCTGCCGTAGTGTTGGCTCCGCGTGGGTCTAAGTCCATTGCCCAGGAATAATAAAGCATAGCCTGAGAAGTATTTCCCAGTTTTTCGTGGCTTTGTCCTATGAGTCTGTAAATGACGGCCTCCTTAGGCGCAAGGACTAGCAAACTCTCCAGCTCTTTCAATACTTCCTGTACGATGAATAGGGGAAAATGATTGGAATACATATATTATATCTGTAGGCTAAATTCCGATCAGCTTCAAGACAATAAGAAATATTTTGTTTGGCAAAGCCCAACTTATTTTATAGTCTGCCGATAAAGAGCGGCGAAATTTATCAGGTAAAAAAAGGAATCCTTTTATTGGTAAGAGGCGAGAAATAAACGAAATATATAAATAAGCTTCTTATTAGCAAAAAATAATCACTTTAATGGGAAATGTTGTAGTCACTCAATCGAAGTTCTAGCTAAAAAAATGATAAAGTTAAATAAAATATATTTTAACATTGAAACTATTATAAACCCCGTACTATTTTCATTTTAGCAAACTCTGGGTCAAAAAAAAAGAATCGTATTTAGCAAGCGAATCTTAAAAAATAAAAGGCATGCGCGATAAGTATGCGAAACAAGATTGTATGCTGCTAGAATGATATTAGTGATAATTCATGACCATATTTATAGATGTAATGGCGTAATTACAAAATCTTGACAAATGCTAATCTTTAAGCAATAAGCTCGATTCACATCGATGATCCAATAGCTGAA